TATCATATCACTCTCTCTGGGGACCCCTGGCTTGTCATCATTTGCCCTTTATAATTTATTCATCTTCTTGCCTGTATCCTTTCTACTTATCATTCATCTTTACAGTTGTACATAAAATTAGATGGATCCTTCAATGGCAGGGCAGTTCGAGAGGGAGATGGGCCTTATTAGGGAAGCCCCTTCAAGGCTGGTGGAGGTCCCACTAGAGCCTTGTACAGGTGCCAAGATGGGGTAAGTAAAAGGAGCCATGAGGTAAGGAGAAGAGGGAGAAAAGACATTGAGAGGATAGAAAAAAAGGGGGGGCGGGTTTGGAAATGATATCCAGAAGGGAGAATAGGAGGAAACAGGTCAGAAGATGTGAGAAAAAAAATAAATGACATCAAGGGCAAGGGAGAGTCAAGGGGAACACCAGAAGGGACCTCAGTGCTAAGGCTCCATCCAAATCTTATGTTTGGTGAATTTTCCATCTTACTAGCCTTCTTAACACACTCACAGAAGGTCACCCTAATTTGTCATGGAAATTACAAGCCCTGTACCACAAGGATCTGAGTTTGGAAGTGTAAATGGCAGGGACATTACCTTTCTCCTGTATGTCTTCAGCGGGTGGGTGGGAGGCAACAGCATGTGTTAGTTGCCCAGTGAGGTTACAAAAGCCCGTCTTTAACTAGCAGATTGGCATTTCGGTGTTTACCAAGAAGAGCCAGCTCTCTTCCAGTGCGCCAGCTCCCCACCACACAGCTTCTCATTGCCTTCAGGCCTCCTGCTAACCGGACTCAGTCTCCCACTTTTCCCAGCTCTGGCCAAGAAACATTCTGCTGTCGAAGAAGTGATTCTGGCCACCTCTCATCATATTCTCTGCATTTCCCTAGTCAGAGCTTCATCCCCTAGGCACCATATTCCTAACTTTAGAAACAGATGGGTTCTCCCTGGAAGATAATCCCCTGCAAAGCCCCAAAGGCTGGAACAGCTGGAACTCTGAAGTGGAGCTGTGTTTTAAGGCATGCAGTTCTTCCACAGGGCCTCTTGTGCACTCCCAGATTCTGCCTACCAGCTCTCAGAGATGGTATGGGGCACGAACACCTCTCTTTTAGGTGGGCTTTCTGATCAGGCTTCTTCCCTGCTATGTATGTACAGTGCTAAGATGTTTCTTGGTCCTCTATCACAGTCATATGACTCCAAGCTCTCTTCCTACCTGCTTGTGTCCTAAAGGAAACCTGAAATCTACCCATAGCCATGTTTGTCACTTTGAAAGTTCTAAAGCAATTGACAGCACTATTAGAAGGGAGGAACTTGGATGGTAGTAAGAGATATAGAACTATTTATCAATCTTGTGATCAAGATCATTGTGTCTTCCATTCAGGGTGGTTTTGAAAAGAGACTGAGGCAAGGGAGGTGACATGTAGCATTATGCTTGTCATTTGATATAGTGCCTAGCAAGTATTCACTGTGAATGCTAAGTAGTTGACTACACAGGTATTGTAACTTCTATGGTCTCTCATTATTGGTTATATTTATGTGTGTGGTTTCTGTCCCCAGCTTGATGGGAAACTCCAAGATTGAAGGGGATGTATTGTAAAATGCTTGCTGATGGCTTGAGAAGCCACACTCTATGACTGTATCCTGTAAACACAGATGATAGAAGGAACTAGTTGTCAGAAGGCCAGACAGACAGCCAGGAAAGAGTAAAGATAGATAGATAGATAGATAGATAGATAGATAGATAGATAGATAGATAGATAG